ACATTTCATGTGAATTTCACAATATTCACCTCTGTTTCATTTCCATACTCAATATGATGTTCATGAAGGTGCATGACTACAGGACTGCTTTTCTCCAGTTAATTAGAAATCAGAGCATTTCTCTAGGTTAAAAGCAAAGAGTATGCAGCCACTTATGTTAAAATTGTTGCCCTGATTTTCACTGCTAGTGATTTCAAATTCTTTTCAGGCTGATCGGTCTGCTTTTCACATTACTTAGCTTTCATCATCCCTTTGCACTTCATTTATAACATATTCATTTTTTATATATCAGAATCCTACTCACTGCACTTTAGAAAACAGTCTTCCTGGCAGGGGAGAAGGAACAGAGGTCTATGAAATAGGATACAGCTAATGATGTAATTAGCAGTATACCAAGCTAGTACCAGACCCAAAGGATTATAAATTTTATAAATATTTATAAATCTAGTTATCTGATTAATTATATATTTTGGCTTTTGGTTTAGGTTGGATGGTTTATTGGTTGGTTTGGTTTGGTTTGGCTTGGTTTTGTTGTTGTTTTGTTTTGTTTTTGAGAAAGCCTGAGAAAGTCATAATTTTGATAAGGCTGAAACTCATGAGTGGTATATGGATAACTTTTCAGCCCAGGGAGGTATGCATCTCTTTTTCCAGTGAGCTATTCATTCAAGAATAGCTCTAGAATAGTTGAGCTATTGATCAGCATCCAGGTGACTTTTTTATATTGTTTTTGCAGATGTGGAGGGATGAGGCATGTGCTACAGGGTAATGGATGCAGTGGAGTTCTCTGTGAAGGTGATCTAGTGTATAGTGTTGGAGGGAAGGCACTACAGTTGGTGACTACACGAAAATGGTTTTTGCTTGTTTGGAAGCTCTCTACAGGTACCTCAAAGGAGGCTGTAGCGAGGTGGGGGTTGGCCTGTTCTCCCACGTGCCATGGTGACAGGACCAGGGGGAATGGGCTAAAGTTGCACCAGGGGAGTTTGAGGTGGATCTGAGGAAGAACTTCTTTACCGAAAGGGTTGTTAGACATTGGAACGGGCTGCCCAGGGAAGTGGTGGAGTCACCATCCCTGGAAGTCTTTAAAAGACGTTTAGATGTAGAGTATAGGGATATGGTTTAGTGGGAACTGTTAGTGTTAGGTCAGAGGTTGGACTCGATGATCTTGAGGTCTCTTCCAACCTACAAATTCTGTGATTCTGTGTGATTCTGTGAAGATGCAAAGCAGGGCATGACGTGGAATGTCAGCACCAGAGTCTACCTGAGCAAGTTAAGTGATGACCACCATGTTGAAACAGAGGTTATTTATTTGAGGTACTGGTGTGGCAGTTTTAAGTATTTCCCATTTGGGTATTACAGGTGATGCCCAGTCCTCAGTGTGGGAGAATTATCCTTGGGGCAGGTGAATGGTTTGGGTAAAGGAGTGGGAGAGAAAAATCACGGGAGGTAGATGCAGAGAATAGTCAGACTTGCTAGTGTCTCTGATAAGCACTGGCCTTGGGCAAGGTGGGAGTTGAGCAGCCTGCTTCCACTTCTCTCTTACACAGATGTTGTGGATGGAGGTCTGTAGGCTTGGTATGAGGGGCTACTGAGGGACAGTGTCTTGCCATATGAGGATGGTCCTTATCTGGCAGCAGAAGAGAATCTTGAAGGCCATGGTGCCTGGAGTGAAACGTTTCATTTGATTATTTGTAAAATGAATCTTAATGAAATACATGCTAAACATACATGTCTTTACTATTTGACTCTCCACACAAATCATGCTAAACATCACTCCAGGGAAGGGAACAGATAATGTAAGGATATAAAGGAAAAGGTTTTAGTGTTAGGAAAAAGCGTTGGTGTTAGCATTAGTTGATAAAGTGAGATGAATGTCATAAAAGAGCTGGGGGGAGAAAGAAGAGATTGGAAAGCTGGAAGAGGTAGTTGAAAGGCTGTGCTCCTTCTTCTCCACCAAGACAGGGATGCCTTGTTGGTAAGCTCTGCACCTTCATCTTTTGGAGAGGAATACCTGAGATAGCATTTTGCTAGCACTGTTATCAGATATGAGCGCTATTGCAGAAAGGGCGTTTACCAAAAGCAATTCCAAATCTCATATAGAAAATAGAATCATAGAATCATCCAGGTTGGAAAACACCTCTAAGATCATCTAGTCCGGTCCCATCTGTCACCTTATTAAAAGTTTTCAACTTTGTGAAACTGTCTCAGTGAAAGTCCTTGGCAGGGCTCTTAAAACAGGCAAGTGTTTGACTTTGATAGGCACCTTTCAATGTGACACAGATCCTACTCCCACTCCACCTAGGTCTCCCACAAAAAATTATTTACAACAGAAGCCATTTGGTATATCTCAACTTCCTTTAGCAGTGTGAGAAAAATCTCAATTAATTTTCTTCAGACAGGATCTTCTGCAAAGCTATTTTATTTGTGATTGGAATAGCGGAAGTCCTTTCAATTACGAGTGCATTTTAGTAAACAAATCATAACCTTTTATTTCCTATTACCCGACGCCTGATCACCTCCCCTGTTTCCTCATTGACTGAGTACTACAGGTTCACAGCTACTCAACACTCCTCTATAGCATATATGTACAATCTTCTCCTTCCTTCCTTCCTTCCTTCCTTCCTTCCTTCTTCCTTCCTTCCTTCCTTCCTTCCTTCCTTCCTTCCTTCCTTCCTTCCTTCCTTCCTTCCTTCCTTCCTTCCTTCCTTCCTTCCTTTCTTTCTTTCTCTCTTTCTCTCTTTCTCTCTTTCTCTCTTTCTTTCTTTCTTTCTTTCTTTCTTTCTTTCTTTCTTTCTTTCTTTCTTTCTTTCTTTTCTTCTTTCTTTCTTTCTTTCTTTCTTCTTTCTTTCTTTCTTTCTTCTCTTTCGTTCTTTCGTTCTTTTCTTTCTTTCTTCTTCTTTCTTTCTTTCTTAGTTTCTCACAGCAGCCTTTTCACACACTCACTCACAACGGAAGTCTGTACTCTCTCTGTCTCCACATCCTAACCCTAACTCTGAACTTTCTGTGAAACAAAACAATTTGTGGACTTTGACTGATTCCAAAGTCCTGCCCATACAGCAGAGCCCCACGTGCCCCAAGGCTCCAAGAGCCCTGCTGGCATATCATAGTGGGACTGGCTCTGGTCTGCACTCAGCTCACAACCACAAGATGTGTGCTGCTGTGTCCCCAACCCCAAAGGCACATCCTTTGAAAGCCCCTTCACAGTCACACTAACAATGGGAGTCTGTGTTTTCTCTCTCTCCAAACCCTAAGCCTAACTCTAGACAGTGCCCAGGTCCAACACACACCACACCCAGCACTTCCATGAAATGCTGCTTGCAGCGGAAGCAATTTATTTAGTAGCCCTCGATGTCCTTTGGCAGCCTTTTAATTAAACTGTTCACAATGGGAGTCTGGACTTTCTCTGTCTCTCTCTAAACCCTAACCCTAGCCCTAGACATTGCCTAGATCCAAGAAACATTTCACCTAGTGCTCCCAAGAAAAATTGCTCGCAACAGAATCTTTTGGTAGCCCTCCACTTGCTTTGGCAGCACTCTCACAACTTCAGTCACAAGGGGAGTCTGTGCTTCCTTTCTTTCCAAACATAAGGACAGGGCTAAGACAGCTCCCAGGTCGAACATTCATCCTAGCAAGAGCTCCCATGAAAAAGCGTTCACATCTGAAGCATTTGGTAGCCCTCAACTTCCTTTGGCAGCCCTTTTACAAACCTTAGTCCTAGAGAGAGTTTGACCTTTCTCTCTCAAAACCTTAATCCTAACCCTAGACAGTGCCCTAGTCAACACCCTTTTCCAATACCCACCCCACCTAGGCTCCCATAAAATAGTGCTCACAACAGAAACCTCTTGATAGTCCTTGGCCTTCTTTGGCAGAATTTTCACAAACCCACTCAAAAAGGGAATCTAAACTTCTTCTGCATCCAAACGTATCTGTAACAGTGACCATAACTCTACTTGACCCTTGTTACTCTAGGACATGTTGGAATGCTGTGAGGACATCCTTTAGTGTTCCTTGGAGAACCACTCTTTCTCCCAGAAGATGCTTGGTTTGCCATGGAGGTGCTTTGGTCCACAGGGAAATGCTAGCTTGGTAAACTGCTAATTACATCATTACCTATGTCCTACTTCATAGACCTCTGTTTCTTCTTCCCTGACAGGAAGACTGTCTTGAAAGTGCAGTGAGTAGGATTCTGATAACACTAATAACAGAAGGATTCTGATAACAGTAGGATTCTGGATAGGTACACAAGCACTACTGGGCCCGTCCAGCCTGGACCCCAGCTCCAGGCTCCCCAGCAGGCTTTTCAGACAATAAACTGCTGTTAGAGCTCCTCCTTTTTGCCCTTATCAGTGGTCGCTCAGGAGGTTTCTGCTTCTTAGGTGCACAGCCAAAGTTCCAAGGGGCCACTTGGGCCTTCTCAAGGATTAGCAGTTTGCAGGCTGACTGGCAGTTGCGTCTGCCAGTGTTTTAGCAGACCTTTGCTGTCAGAATGTCTCCCAGGATTGCCAGCTCACATCCATGGCTGCTCTGGCCACTGAGTGGGAGAGGCAAGGCTCTGGTGTGCCCATGAAGACAAAGGGAGGTCCTTCAGGCACACTGGCGCTCTGGGACACGCCACAGAGCCACAGGGTGGTCCCAAGAGAGTGTGAGGGCACACAGGTGACGCGCGGAAAAGACTCCACAACCATAGGGTTGTAAAGTAGGTACACTTTATTGCGGTGCACCAGGCGCACTGGGAATGGCTTCCCTGAAAAAGTGCGCACCTGCCTGGTCGTCTCTCACAACTTTATACACGAATACTGTTACATATTACATGAGCTCTCATACATATTCTTTATTGTCCCCCAAAAGGCGGACCTCTTCCAAGTACTCATTTCCATACTCCCCGCCCTTAGCTCCTCCCGGTTGCACCTGCGCAGTGTAGCCTGGTGGTCGTGGGCAGGGGTCTTTCGGGATGAAGGCAACGAGGAAGAGCAGGTTAAACTCTCTTGACCTTTCTGGACTTGGACCTGCTGTTGGACAGTATTTAGAAGTTTTTTGTTCATCTTTGCCTTGTTTCCTGCCAACAAGTTGTTCATCCTTCCCTAATGAGTTGTTTGTCCTTCCCTCACCCGTTGGCCTTGAGCGATATCTTCCTTTTTACATCTGCTTCTCATCTACATCCCTATAATTAGGATATTTTACCATATATGTAGCTAGATACTAATTTGGATAAGTTTTAGCATCTTCCCCATCTCACAGCGGCCTTGTGGCATCTGAGAGGAGTCAGGTGCCTGGGCCTCACGCCCTCCGCCCTGGAGACAGCGTCCCCCTTCTGGCCTGGGTGACATCACAGCAGAGCCCTTTGTGACTCACCCCTGGGACAGCTACAACTACCCAGCACCAGCAGGGCAGCCCCACAGTGTCCAGAAGGATTACAATGGGAGAGTGCATGAGTTGTGTGGCTCCTCGCCAAAACGATGCTGACGATCTTCCCCTGGCGGGGCTGCTATTAGTTATCCCCAAGATCCTGGACGCTGAGAAGGATAGCGGATCTGCTGCATATTCTATGTGGGAGACCCATGTGCTTCAGAGGGGTAAGTACGCAGGCACCGCTGGGCCCGTCCAGCCTGGCCCCAGGCTCCAGGCTCACCAGCAGGCTGGAGGCGCGCTCCACCAGGGACGGGTGCCGCAGCATGGCACTGCCATGCCACTGCCAGAACTGAGGAAGCCAAGCGAGCGAGGGTCCCCAGCGGGCTGGACGGGACCAAAGCGAGCGAGTGCACCCTGTTCTGCAGCAGGAGCCCGCTTCCCTGGAACATCAGCAGAGGGGTACAGCCGGCGGGGGGCATGCCGGTTCCTGAAGGGCAGGGCAGCTGTGAGCCAGGAGCCAGCCCCAGCACAGCCTCCCCTGGCAGCAGGAGAGGCTCCCGGCCGGAGAGAGTGGAGGGGACCCAGCTCTTGCTGCGGGGACAGGCAGCGGAAGGCTGCTCACCCGGCAGGAGGCAGCGGTGCTGCAGGACAGGGACCTTTCCTGCTCTGCTGCCAGCGGCAACCTTGAGGAAAGGGGGCATCAGTGCTCCGACCCAGGGCTTGCAGTCGGCAGGGCGGTGGGCACAGGGTTCAAGAGAGGGCACGGCTCTTCCCTCTGCCTCCTGCCCCGCTTACAGCTCTGTCCATTCTTTCTTAATCAGATAATGTTTCTGCTGTCTCCATCTTGTCTCTGGCGCCCAAGGACATGGAAGACTATGACTACTTCTGGGCTGTTCTCACTGGCACCAAAATGGTAACTGCAGACTTTGTCAGTGCGTGAGGCTCAGCGTGCTTCTCCCAGCTGGGGGCTGCTGTGTTTGCTGCCCACGCACAGGCTTTTGGAGGGCTGCTGGCTGTGCTGAGCTGCTGCCCTCCTGGCCCCTTGTGCTATCACTGCACCCCTGTGGTGCAGTGGCCCTGCTGGCCATGTCGCCGCCCTCTCACCGTCCCTATTTGTCTCTGTGCTCCCTGACTGTCAGGAAGAGGACTGGAAGCTGAAGTTTCTGGCCTCGATCCGCACCATCTGCAGCAACACGGTGCAGAAGAGATACATGTACCTGCCCTGTGACATGCTGGGAGTGGAGGAGAAGGTGAGGGGATACCCAGTGGGGCGGGGAGGGGGAAAGGGTGAGCTGTCCGGGCACCAGCCCAGCAGTCAGAACAGCACAGGGGTTTCTGCGCACAGGGGAGGGTGGGACGGGCCTCTGTGGGCACAGAGCAGCCTGGCCCGTGCCCCCCTTTACCCCGCCCCCGTCTTGACGCCAATGCTGGTATAGTGCCAGCAACGCTCTGCCTGCCCTGCAGATCAGTGCCAGCCCCTGGCAGCTTCCCGTGTCCCATCCTGACCATGTTGTCTCTCTCCAGATGCAACTGCCTGAGTCTTCCTCCGACCACCTGCGCACTCTGATGCTCCTGGGCTGGCAAGCTGCGTATGCCATCAGTGAAAGGAGGTACCTGCCCCAGACCTTGGCTTGGCCAGGGCCTCTCCACAGCATGGGCCTGACAGTAGCGGGCTTCCCCCACCCGGGCAGGACTTTGGTGCTCTGTCTTAGGGCCTCAGCTCTCCCCTGCGCCAGATAGGAGGGCAGAGGGTGCCATGCCGGCAGAGCCAGCCGGCAGAGCCGGCAGGGGCTCTCCATTGTCTCCCTGCCCAGCTTTTTTCCCTGAAGGGAGAGAGGCAGGAGCTGGAAAGGGCTTTGTGCACTGCATGCCATGACTGCCCTCTATCCCCGGCTCAGCAGCACGGGAGAGGGAGAAGATGCCTCCACACAAGCCTTGCCCACCCAGTACGGGTCCCACCTGGTGACCCCAGGCCCTGACATCTACGGTCACCTTCCCAGGGCATCTGGGCACTGCTCCTAGTGCCAGCCTCCAACGGGCACCTTCTCTCCTCTCCTTGCAGCAAAGAGAACCTAGCACTGCTGTCACAGCACCTCGGCCCCTGCATCAACGCCATCGGCTCTCTTGCTTCAACGAGGGAGAGGGGCAGTCTGGATGCTTCACTTTATGCTGAGGTAAGCACCGAGTGAGCTACAGAGAGCCTGCTGCCAGTCAGTTCCTGCGCACTAGTTAGCTTTGGCTGCTGAAAGACCACGGGAGAAACAGAAAGACAACAGAGATCCTGAGACACCACTGGGCAGGTTGCCGGCACCACTGGGCAGCTGAGGCCTGCCTCAGGCAGCAGGCGTTCAAGCCAGCTTCCCATGAGGAAGGACCAGCAAAAAAGCACCACCCGCTCTGTCTTCCTTACAGATTCTGAAATCTCTGGACAGCGTGCTGGAAGTGCTGGTGTGTACTTCGTCGGACTACACTGCTGCTATGCTGGAGATCATCTTGCAGGTCTGTCCCCAAGGCCGCGACGGGGTACACCCCCTTTCCAGGCTCTTCTCTTGTTCAGGAGAAGTCTGGGCACGCTGCGTAAACCCTGCCCGGTGCTTGGCAGAGCTGCTGCTACGGGAGCTGCCACTGCCTCCCAAGGCAAACCAGCAGCTTTTCTCTTCTCAGGCCCTGCTGCCCTTCACAAGATCCGAGAATGTGGCAAAGCGTCGGTATGCCGTGGGGAGGATTGCCAGTCTGAGCGAGGTGCTGATCCCCAGTTCTCTGATGCAGGTAAGGAGCTGGTGGCTCAGGCAACCTCTAAGCACTCCCTCACCCCTTCCCGGTGTCTCAAGTGCACTAGCTCAGCCAAGCTGCCACTGTCCATCCTCTCAATCCCAGGACTCGTTCAGAAACAGAGTGGGCACGGTCAGAGTTCGCACCTTCCAGACGAAGCCTGTGCCACTCCTGGGGCAGCTGATGGGGTGCCTCACCCTGTGCTGCGCCGAGAAGGACAAGGACATCAGCTGTGGGTCTGCAGAGGCTCTTCACGCCTTCCACAGGATCGTGATGGTGCGACAGAGTAAGAGAGGCTGGGGTGGGCTAGCACCTTCCAGACACGAGGGCCCTGTCAAGACCAGGCATGGTGATACGCCGCTTTGTCCGCCCTCCCCAGCTAGAGGAAAGAGCAGCACATTCCTCCAAGGGTGGAGCAGGGGAGCAGCCATGCTGCACCAACCCTAGGGGGCTCCCCCAGCCCCTATCGGAGCAGCAGGATGTCCCCTGGGGTAGTGGCTTAGTAGCACTCCTGAGAACCAGTGGACTGGAGAGCCTGTAGCAGTAGCAGCATCGTGGGGCTTCTCTCCTGCTTCAGAGCAGAAAGCCAGACCAAACTCTCCGGCCTTTTTTGCAGACTGCGAGGCGGTTTGCCCTCCTCCCCCTTGCAACAGAAGACCCATTTCCTCCCTGGCATGTCTCCTGTCCCCACCCCCTACCCTCCACCCAACACAGAGTGCCCCTCTTTGACAGACACAGCGCCCTGCCACAATCCCTGCCGCAAGCTCTGCTTGGTGTTCTCAGCTGTCTTCTCCAAGCAGCAGCTTCTCCATCATTCCTACCACTCACCCACCCTCTGTTTGCCTTGCTGCCCAGGCCACTTCATGACACCTACCTATCCGTATCTCTTTCTGGAGCGGGAATGCCCAAGCACCTTCCGGCCCAAGGACGCTGCTAACGAGCTGACGGTAATGAGCCCCTCCCTTCCTGGGATTCTTGGCTGTGAGGTTGACAGGAGACCTGGATGAACCAGTGCCCCAAGAACTGCGGGCAGGAGGCAGGGTCCGTCACGGCCTGCCAGCAAGCCGGCTGCAGGGTGCCACCGTATCTCAGCGGGGAGTAGCCAAAGGCTAATGTCAGTGGCCAGCGTCAGCACTGCAGGTCCAGCTGTCCTGGCCACCCACAAGGCCTGGCTGCCTACACACTGCCAAGTGTGCCCTGACCCTGACCTCCACCACCTGCCTTCACCCTGCGGGGCAGTTCCCTCTCCGCAGCCACTGAGGCTACAGTCATCCCAGCCCAGGCCGGCCCTTGCAAGCCCACGCCAGCTCTTGCTCCTGCCTGTGCTGGGGGCACAGTGCCAGCACTGCCCTGGCTCTCTCTGCAGAGCTGCCCTCGCTGCTCAGCTGCAGCCCGCCACCAAGGCAGGCTGTGGGACATGTCTTCCCTCTCACAGGTATTTGGCAGCTTCCTCTTCCCCGTCGAGAGGACGAACTTCATCCTCACCATCTTGGAGGGCATGACACACCCCAGGGTCTCCGACAAAAAGGTGGTTGCCCGTGTGTTGGATATGATCACAGACTCAGACATGGAGGAGGTTAGCAGTTTGCAGACAAATTGCCCTGTGCTGTTGCCCTCTCGGGGGCCGTTCTCCCTGGCCCGGGTCCAGGGCTTGGGAGTCCCCGACAGCCATTCGGGCTGGCAAAGAGCCACAGGAGGGAAACATTTGCTGGTGGCAGCTGGGGCCATGGCTGTGCTCTGCTCCATTCTCCCTCGTCTCTCCTCCAGGTGCCACGGGTCATGCGGATCATCCATGACTGCCTGGCGACGGTCAGAAAGGAATCACTCCTGGACATCCTGAAGAGGACCCTTTTCCAGATCACCTCCTTGCACCCTGGGCACGCGGTCCAGGGCCTGCTGGAGGTCTTCCCGTGGTGCGACAGGTACAGGGCCCACCCACCCACCTCTGGCACAGCTCAGGACCCTCAGGGCCGGCACAGGCCAAGGGGCAGTGGCTGGGGTGGCCCCATCGACTGCATGCTTTGTCTCTGCAGGGTTGCCACGGCCATGTGGCAGACGATGGTCTCCGAGCCCTGCGTTGCAGAGGACGTGCTGAGAAACCTGCTGAAGCAACGCATAGGGCCTGAGCACGATGTCTTTGGCTCACCCCACAGCTGTGTCCGTTCCTGGGCTGTGAGTTCCTGGACCAGGCCTCGCTCACCCCCAGTGGGGCTGCACTCCCCTCCCCATCCCCTCCTCCCCCTCTTCCTCTGTCCCCAGTCGACAGCCTCCCCTGGGGCTCCCCAGTCAGGGGGGCTGGGAGCCAGAGCCCAGCAGGGCCACATGCACTGCTGGGGCCCCACTGCGCACAGGCACGCAGCCCACCCCTGCCCTGCCGCTCTCTGTCCTCCTCCCTCCCCGCCTGCTCCTGCCTTGCTGGGCAGCCCCGGGCAGGGCGGCTGCCTGGCCCAAGCAGGCTGCAAGGTTTGGCCCAGGGAGCTGAGGACAGCTGGCAAGACCCCCGGGGCCTGCTGGGCCCTTTGCTCTGGACACAAAAAGCTGGCTTGCCCATGCCACAAAGCAGAGCCGAACCCAGGGAGCCGCTGGGACTGGGCCCCAGGCCAGGCAGCCAGGCAGCGGGCTCAGAGCGACGCCTCACCCCCACCTCCCTCACCCCCCAACCCGCAAGCTCTGGCAGTGCTGCAGGGACACCCGTGCACTGAGAGCTGCACCTGACTGTTTTCTGCAGGTAACCAGCGCCATGAACAAGATCTTCCAGCTGCCCTCCAGCAAGAACATTGCGCTGTTACTTTTCCACAAGCTCTACATTGCCGTGCTCTTCCAGATCTCCTTCATCCATGAGTGCACACTGCAGGACTTCAGCAGCGGCAGCAGTCAGATGGGGGAGTGCGTGTGGCCTTCAGGCAGCTTTCTCAGGTGCTCCATCCCCTCTGCCAGGTCTGTGCCCCAGGCCGGAGCCAGGGCCGGGGCGCCACATGTGACGCGCATTATGCTCTGCATGCAGGACTGCGGTGATGACCATGAGAGCTCTTTTCCAACACCTGGGGGGTGCCACTTTGGTTGAAGACATCCAGATGCAGGGTGGCTGGGACAGGCTTTTAAGACATGAGACCTTCCACACAGGTGTTGCTGTGCTGACTAGGTGAGCGCCTCATCAGTTGTCCTTGTCTCCCCTGGCACTCTTCCCCCAGAGGTGGGTCCCCTTCCTCGTGGCTGGTGAGGTGTCCCCAGGGGTCCGAGGGACAGCGTTGGTGACTGAGGGATCTCAGGAGAGACCGGCAGGGGGAGTGGCCTCTTTGATCTTTAAGGTCCCTTCCAACCCGAGCCATTCTATGATTCATTCTATGATTTCCATGCTGCTGCCTCTGAGAGCTCCTTGGTGAAGGGCTGCTGTTGCCCAGTGCAAGAGGAGGACTCGCAGGACCTGTCACCTTCCAACGCACTCCTTCCTCGGGGACCAGCGGTGCAGGAGAGTGCTGGGGCTGGCTCTGCAGGCAGTGCCACAGCCTGCACTGGAGCTGTGTGGCAGAGCAGCCGGAAGGGTGGCCAGAGAGCGCGGGAAGGCTCAGTGGCCTGGGCATCCAAAGTGGTCAGGAAATGGCATCTGTTGGAAGGCCACAACTTGTGTGTAGGCAGGGCGTCTCTCAGTGAATCGAGCACATCTGTGCTCGTCACCCTCCATGTTTGCAAAGGCAAGGTACATGGTGAAGGGCGGGCGGCCTCTCCTCAAGCGGATGGCACCAGCTGCTGAAGCAGAGTGCAGAAATGCAAGCCTTGCCCTGGTCTGGCCCATGGGATAACAGCTAGCGCTGACAGCACAGTCCCAAGGAGGTTTGTTTGCCCGGCTTGGTACTAGCAATGCGTTCTTCCCCTGGCCAGGGCTCTGGGAAGCAAAGCACCGCTCTTTGGTGCCTCGGTGTTTGAAGAGGCAGTCGTACGTCTCTGGCAGAGACAGAAGCATGAGGAGATCACCGCCATGGCTGTCTTCACGGAGGTAGGGCCTAGCAGCAAGCGGTGCCTCTCCAAGGTGCCTTGAAACTCTGGGCTCTCTGGCAGATTCAGCATGCTGCCAGGAGTCCTGCCGGCTGGGCCAGGCTCTCACTGGGCTGCTGGGTGTCTTTCAGTTGCTGGACTGTGTAGACTTTGAGCAGCTTGTTGATAACTGCATCCCGCACCTTCTTCATTCACACCTGCGCAGTCAGTCCTCGGTGCTGCGTAGGATGGCGGTTACAAGCCTCGTCACGCTGTCTACGAGACCCAAGCTGGTGAGTGGGGGCATCTGGGCCAAGTGGCGGCATCTGCCTGGGGCTGGGCTGCAGGTGCTGTTGCCCGCAGAGGCTTGCTTGGACTTTGCCAAGAATCGGGAGGGGCGGTAGTGGCTCCACTGCCCTCACTGCCTTCTTCATCAGCCCCTGAGCGCTTCTGGGCAGCCCCTGCCTGGACTGTGCAGCACGAGGAGAGCGGCACCAGTGTCCGCTCAAAGGCACCTCCTGCTGTGCCAGAAAGAGGTCAATGCCAGGCCCCAGGCCAGCCAGCGCAGGGCTGCCTCAGCTGCAGGAGCACTCTACCCAGAGCAGTCATCCTGCTGAGGTTGGGAAGATGAGCCCCCGCACGGGGCCAGGCTGACACAAGTGGCTGCTTCTGCAACCCAAGGCAGCAGCCTTCTGTCTCGAGGGGCCTCAGCACGCTGCTGGAGACAGACCTCTGCTCTGGGCTGTGCCTGCTGTAAGCAAAGGGCTTCTGCCAGGATGGTCTTCGGTGTTTCTGAAACAGAACTGCTGTGTTTCATGTAGGCAGTAACTCTGCAAGACCTGCTGCCAGAGGTCATGCAGCAACTGCAGGATGCCAACAGCGACATCAATATGCAGGCCATGACTGTCCTCCGCAACACTCTGCGCCTAGCAGATGGGCAAGTGGCTGGCCCCATCGCTCTGCAGCTGCCTGACAGGCTCCTGCCCCTCTTTGACAACGTAAGTCTGGTGGGCAAGCAGGAGGTTTGGCCACGGGGCACGTGAGTGTGGCCTGGGGGTGGTGCGTCCCTCTCCACGTGTCTCTCTGGCCTGTGAGACACGATCCCTGGGCACGTGCTGGAAACGTTTTGCTTGGTGCTTCTTGGGCTCTCCCGCTGGGGCAGCCCCTCCCTGTGCAGAGCCCTGCGGATGTGTGCTCCACAATGGCAACTTCTCCTCGGCCCCTCGCTGCCCATGGCCGCTTCTCCCCTTGCCATGTGTCCCCTTGCCAGCCCCAGGGTGGACCATCTGCAACCCACTGCCTTGCCCTTCCTGTGTCTTGAGCCATTTTGCACTGCCCACACACTTGGCCTACCTGCCACAGCTCACTGCAGAGTGAGAGCCAGGAGCGTGTGTCTCCCTGTCTGCCACACCGACCCCTTGCTCACTGTGAGCTCGGAAGAGCCTGGACTGAGGTCCTCCCTTGTTCTGTCTCACCAGGAGTCCAGCTGCATGAGAGAGCTCTCCATCCTTCTCTGCAAGGACGCCATGGAGGTTGCAGAGGGCACCCATAAGATGGAGATGAAGAAGCAAGTGCACAGGACCGTCCTCCCCCTCTTCTTCCACCTGCATGACCAGAACCAGCATGTGGCTGAGGTGGGGACACTAAGCTGAGCATTCACTTGAGGGGGCAGCACCCCTCAGGAGGGCCTGCCTGAGCATTAGGGGCACGGGCCGTTAGCAAGGCTCCCTCTGAATGTGCCTCACCTCAGGGCCGAAGCTCCCGAATCCAAAAGAAAGGTGCAGAGCCCCTCTGTGCCTGCACCAGGCCCACCACAGCCATTTTGCCCCTACTACGCCTCCGCCTGCACAGAGGGCCAGAGCGGAAGGGCCTCTCCCTGCCCCACATCCAGCGCCGCATGCAGCCCTCCACAGAAAAGCCCGCTGGGAGGCTTCCTGCAGCCCCAGAGCTGTCAGGGGCCAAGAAGGTGGGCACGGACATTTTCCAGACCTGCCCTGCCTGCTCCCAGCTGTGCTCAGCAGTGCTGCGTAGCCACAGATACCTAGGCACTAGAGTTTTCACGGGCATCCCAGCTGTGCCTGCAGGTGTCTGAGGCCAGTGGTGAGGTGCCCAACAGTTGTCGACCCCATGTTATGCACAGGGACCCGCCAGATGCCTAGGCTGAATGCTCCTTTGCTCTCTTGGGCACGAGCACCCTGGAGCCGCCAGCGTGCTCACTGCAGAAACCCTGGCCTGCAGGCTGCCCTGGGCCACGCAGAAGGGTGCAGCCCCTGCCAGGGGTTGCAGGAGCCAGCATGGCTGCCAGCCTCACCAGCCTGGGAAGGGAGCCGCAGCCAGGGCAGGGGTCTGGCCCTGTGTCCGCGGTGGCGGGCTCTGGAGCAGCCCAGGCCCTAGGGAACAGCCTGCTGGGGTCCCCGTGCGTGGTGTCCCTGGCTGCCTCCTGCCCTGGTGCCTCAGTGACTGCAGCGCTTCAGCTGCCTGCTGGCCTTGGCTGCAGATGAGCAGCTCTGGGGGACCTCTGTCCTGCAGCCCCAGCAGCATGAAGTGCCGAAGCTGGTGGTTGCCCCACACCACTGCCCGAGCACCGAGCCCTCTGGCAGATGCCTTCCCCAGCTGCTGCACCTCCCCAGCAAGGGCCAGGAAAGCCCCCAAGCCTCGCCAAGGTGCGGGACAACCAGGGCCTGTCCCATGCGCAGTGGTTTCATCTCCCACTCTCTGCTGCTCTGCAGGCCTCTCGGGAAGCCCTCCTTGGTGCTGCCAAGCTCCTGAAGTGGAAGCAGCTCAGGAACCTGCTGGAGACAGCGCAGCCACAGAGGATTGGCGAGTGCCTGGTAAGGACAACTGCCCGAGGGCTCCCAAAACCTGGCCCAGACAAGGCCTGCCAGCCCTGGCCCAGGGTGCGGGGTGGCTACCCTTGCCTCTAGCCACTGCTGCAGGCCAGAGCCCCCAGCCTGCAGCCGTACACGCACCCCTACCCCCACGCCCCGGCACGTAGCAGTACAGGCTCTTCGACAGCCTCGTCGCTCTCCCAGGTCCCAGGCATACCGACAGCTGACCCTTGGCAGCGGGGTGGCACCTCAGCACCCTGCCCCTTGCTCCCTCCAAAGCCTGGCCCCAGCAGCAGCTGGCTGCTGGTTGGGCATCAGGCTATCCCAGCAGGGGAAGCCAGTCCCACGTACAGGGCCGGCCTGGCCAAGGGGCAAGGCTGCACCAGCCCCATCCACATGTACTATTCTCTTCCAGCTGGTGGGGCACAGCAGCAGAGTGGATGACTACCTGTCCCAGAGCCTGCAATACCTGCGGAGCCCCCAGGAGCCCCTGCAAGAGGCGGCCATCAGGTTCATTGGTGAGTCACAACCCCATGGGCCCTCTGTGCCCCACAGCAGCTTGGCCGCAGCCCCAGCTGCTGCTGAATCAGCCACGTGGCTGCAGAGCATTGCCGGCTCAGAGTGGGCCTGGAGTGCCTGTGGGGGCTCCCTGCTGCCCTCGCCCACACCCTGCCCACGCAGTGGTTGCTGGTGGGAAGCTTAGCGGGTGCCTCGCAGCCTCCTTGGGTGTTGTCACACTTGGGCACACATGGCCAAGCCGGCAGGGATGTTGAGGGGGGGACTGTGTCTGGGGCGAGCTGGCCAGCGGGATCTGTGATGGGCTGTGTGTACCTAGGGCTTGCCGGGCAGTACTTGGTGGATGGGCGCGAGGAGAAGCTCAAGATCATCGAGGGTGAGTGAGGGCAGTGGGGTATCAGCAGGAACTGGCTGGGAGGAGAAAAGACCCTGGGCAGTGAGCTGCGACCCCTGCCCCAGCTGAGGAGGTGGGGTGGCCTTGGCAGGAGGGGTTCCTGGGCGTGCTTCCCAGTGATACGGGCTCTGACCTCCACTCTGTTCCTTTCCATGTCAGCCCTGAGAAGCATGGAGGGCAACAGCAGCCCTTCGGTCTCCTCCCTGGTGACTGAAACCATCCTGGTCCTGAGAACTTCCTCCACATTCAGCCTGCAAGCACTACGTTACCGGCTCCGGAGGGTGTGGGAGAGGAGGCCCCGTGTCCCGAGAGCTGGCTGGCTACGCTGCTGCAGCTGTGCTCAGTGCTGAGCGCTGCTCCAGCCCTCGGGCCCCACCGAGTAACCCCTCTGCTGGACTTTCCCCAAAGAAACAGCCCTCTTTCTTCACCGCTTGAACGTGTCATTTTTTTGTGTGAAAACTGAACGGTTAGAAAACTCCACGGCACCAAGCTGCTCTGCTAGGCTGTGAAACCAAGAGGAAGGAAAGCTTTTGCTTCCCTGGCCGCAGCGTGTTAGAGCAACCCACCGCCTCAGCCTTCCTGGGCCTTGGGCCATTTTGCTAGGAACAGTGCGATTTTAGAGTGAGCCTGATGGTACGGAACTGATAGATTGCATGGCCAGCCCTGAGTCTAACTGACAACCTACTCATGTCCTCTGGATGAACTTTGCTCATTATAATCTCACTACAGTGCCAAAATACACCTCCATCCCCAAGGCTACCCGCCTCCAAGGTGCAACTACCTCTCACTGAGCACGCGCTCTGAATTTCCCTGAGCAAAAACAAAAGCCAGGAAAATGTATACCAGTGACAACAAAGGCGCATATGACTTGAGTCACTCACTACCTAAAAGCAGGAACATAGTAAAAAAAGGGCTCAAGAGAGGAAAATGTCGGGGAAGACACCACCACAGACAAGTCGGGAGGACGTCGCTGACTCCTGGCATCAGCCGAAGGCTGCTGTGCTGAACCTCTCTTCCCCCCTACAGGGATGCCTACAGGGCGAGATCTGAACCCTCAGTTACAGCGAGTGCTTCCCTGGGAAACCTAACATTCTCTATAGAGTTGTTCCACAAGTTAACGTATATGCAGCTGGTTGTTTTAGTCATATTCTTGGTATTTGCATGTGCTTTGCATCACCGGCAATCCAAAAGAACCTGTGCTCGTGTTGCTCCAATAAACTACACCAGTCATTTACTAGACTGAAAGTGTATTACACGATATGTGCATCCATGATCACGATAATTCAGTCTATTGAATACAACCGGATTTATAGTTCCAGACAGGGCATCGCTCAGAATCCAAACCCAGCCACCCCCAGCCCCTCTGATATCTGAGGAGAAGTTGGAACGCAAGGGGGTTTAGGTCCTGCCAAGCTTCCTTAGCCTTTAACACAACATGCTATGCTAAACGTCCGCTACAGTGGAGCAAATTACTAATGTTCCGGCAGATTCTATCACCTCAGTGCTACAGGAGGTCACATCCTTACCAGCAGGGGTAGTTCAGAACCATGAGGGGTTAGACTGCATAGTAGCATCCCATGGAGCAGTAGGTACACGGCTGCGTTGGAGCTGCTTGCTTCCACGTAGGTGAAAATCAGGTGATTGCCAGTGATGCTGTTATCTCAAATCCTTCGTGCCCCACGCTGGCTGCCCAAAAGGACTGCTGTGGCTGAACCCCAGTGGGCAGCTGAGCACCACACAGCTGCTCTCTCACTCCGTCCTTGCACCGGGAGTGGGGAGAGAGCTGGAGGGGCCAAAGTGAGCAAAGTCATGCATTGAGGTAGTGCCCAAAGAGAGTGGGCTGGCTTCTCCTGGGATGTCAGCCATTGCTGTCATGAGCGCTGAGCCAGGGCCAGGGAAGGCGCTGCAGCTGACATGCGGGACAACGGAGGGATCAGAAGTAGCCGGTTTGGGTTTCTGAAGGGCTGGTCTTTGTGCCTAAAGGCAGGACTCCGTAGAACGACCAGCAGGGGACAGGTATCAAGTCAGGGATTACTTGAACAAACTCAGCCACCATAAACAGAAATGGAGGTGGGTGCTCTGACCAGCTCCCCAAACACAAGTAGCGGTATGCCATGACACCCCAGGATCACAACCCTATGGTTATAGAGTCTTTTCTGCGCATGAGTTTGGCGAGCCTGGCAGGAGGACTCTGGCTGCAGGATCGACTGTGGAGCGGACCTCCTAGGCACGCCCCGAGCCCCTTTTTCTCTCTCGGAGGAGTTCCTCTCCCAGCCTCTCACTGCAGGGATATAGGAAGTTCCTGTGGTTGCGGGCAAACGGTACACCTTAATTAAGGTAAGCCAATTGGCCGGGGAGGTCAATAAGCCACATAGAGATGTCTAGCATGCGACACGAACCCTGAGGGCGTCCTGGGAGGTGGCCAGTAGAGCGGCCAAAAGGGGTTTTGAGTAGAAGCTGCCATACCCTGGTTCTAGGAACCACAAGGAACATCCTGAAGATCATAGAGGAGACGGGAGGAGGGTAGGCGAGCTTTAATGGTAACTGGCATAATGTTTGCAGGTGCTGGGGAAGAATTCTAACTGGAATAATAACTGTATGATGTATATGTAAAGGCCCGGGCATTTTTGTTGAAGTGTTCTTTTAAACATATGTTAATATGTTGTCGTGGTTTAACCTGGCCGGCAGCTAAACACCACGCAGCCGTTCGCTCACCCTCCCCCCTCCCTCTCTGGGACGGGGGGAGAGAAATGGAAAGTGAAGCCCGTGAGTTGAGATAAAGACAGTTTAATAAGACAGGAAAATAATAATAACAAAATAATAATAACAATAATAACAATAATAATACAATGGTGATAATAGGGAAATAATAATAATATGTACAAACAAGTGATGCACAATGCAATTGCTCACCACCCGCTGACCGATGCCCAGCCTAACCCCGAGCAGTCCGGCCCCCTCCCCCCGGCTAGCCACCCCTATATACTGTTTAGCATGACGTCAGATGGTATGGAATACCCCTTTGGCTAGTTTGGGTCACCTGTCCTGGGTCTGTCCCCTCCCAGCTCTTACTGCACCCCCAGCCTGCCCGTTGGCAGGACAGAGCAAAAGGCTGAGATGTCCTTGGCTTAGTATAAGCACTGCTCTGCAACAATTAAAGCATCGGGGTGTTATCAGCACTCTTCTCATCCTAAGCCAAAACACAGCATTCCACCAGCTACTAGGAAGAAAATTAATTCTGTTCTAACTGAAACCAGGACATATGTGAATATGTAAATATAATATAAGAACTGCCATTGAGGTGTATGCCTAAGGGAACGAAATTTGCCCAGGCATATTATCTGCTCGTCGGGTTTAAATGTCCTCAGTGTAATTGTCTACAGGCAGTTAATTTACAGTGGTCTGATTTTACTTGTGTATCTCTCTATATTGTGGATTTTGGAGGGATTGGGATTGACTAGTAAAGAGCTCCTAGGAAAATGGTGGAATATTAACTGCTATGGATTAGAATGGGAAAAGGCCAAAGCAAAGCAATCCCACGGAAAAGGCCCCTAGAATGTATACTAACACATTGGAGGGATATAGTGGGAAGAGGGGGGCCAGAGAGTAAAAAAACTGTTATCAAATATTGTAATCAGTGGTGGCCACTTTATAAACTAGAGGCTGGAGAGGAGTGGCCCCAAAATGGAACTATTAATTATAACACCGTATTACAGTCAATATGTCCTTTATTACAGTCAATAAAGTCCTTTTTGGAGAGAAGGAAAATAGGATGAAATGTAGTATACAGATATGTTGTTTCAGCATCTTAGAGAGAAAAGGAGTGGAGTTAATCGGCCCTTGACTGAGCCTTTGGTGTTGGCATTAGAAAAGTACAGGATGGAGAAAGACAAAGGAAGTGCTAAAAGGGTTGTTGAAGGTGTTAAAGGTGTTTAAAGTTGAATGAGCAGGGAAAGAGGTGTAGGAATTTTAAAAGCTCTGTCTCAGCCCCAGGCTGAGATCTCAAAATCACAGGTGTTAGCCCTCTGGGGCAAAGAGGTCATGATGGGTCCCAGAGAGAGTTGTTATGGAAACAGAAAAGCAGTTAACTCTTCAAACAACCTGAGTTCAAGTGCAAGCTCAGATTGCCAATGGGACCGCTCAGGGAACTGTTGACAATTGCATTCCCCTGAGCGACCCCAGTGAGACCCTAATCATCCCGAAAATTATGAAGTTAAGTTAATACTCGAATCTGTTTGAATTGGGAATTGAGAATATGCTTCCAACAAGGTCCAAAAGAAAACCCCATGGAAATTTTGGACCAACTTTGAAATGTAATGGAAAAAAAAAAAAAAAAAAAAAAAAAAAGATTCGGACCCAGATCTCTCGGATTCAGAGAACAAACTGACTAGCCTTTTCCTAGGGTAATCAGCCCCTGATTTTGGCAGGAATCTACCCTAGCGGATCCTCCACTGGTTATTAGGAAGATAGGGGAGGAACAGAAGTGAAATTTCTTATTGGTATGGGGGCAACATATTCGGTTCTAAATCAAGCATTAATGCCTTTAGGGAATGATTGTGTTAGGGTAAAAGGTGCAACCGATCAACCTGAAAAGGCTTATTTTTGTCAACCTTTGAAGTACAAGTTAGGGAAACAATGGGGCATACACAGATTTTTATATATGCCTAACTCCCCAAGGGCACTCTTAGGTAGAGATTTATTAGAGCAATTAGGAGCAGTAATAAAATTTGAAAAAGGGGAGATTACTCTGGAGGTAAATGATCAGCAATATATACAGGTAATGAGTTTAGCCCTAGTCAACCTTCCAGTGGAAGGACAAGTTAATGAAGAAGTCGTAAACCAGGTATACCCAGGCGTATGGGCTACTGATGTACCTGGGAGAGCTAAAAATGCCCCACGTGTTGAGATTCGACTCAAGGAGGGAAAGAAGCCAGTAAGGATCGAGCAGTATGCTCTAAAGCAGGAAGATAGGGAAGGAATTCGACCAATAATAAAACTGAAAGTAGGATTCTTGAGGGAATGTGAATCCAATTTTAATAGGTGTTTTCTAACCGTTCAGTTTTCACACAAAAAATTGACACGTTCAAGCGGTGAAGAAAGAGGGCTCTTTCTTTGGGGAAAGTCCAGCAGAGGGGTTACTCGGTGGGGCCCGAGGGCTGGAGCAGCGCTCAGCACTGAGCACAGCTGCAGCAGCGTAGCCAGCCAGCTCTCGGGACACGGGGCCTCCTCTCCCACACCCTCCGGAGCCGGTAACGTAGTGCTTGCAGGCTGAATGTGGAGGAAGTTCTCAGGACCAGGATGGTTTCAGTCACCAGGGAGGAGACCGAAGGGCTGCTGTTGCCCTCCATGCTTCTCAGGGCTGACATGGAAAGGAACAGAGTGGAGGTCAGAGCCCGTATCACTGGGAAGCACGCCCAGGAACCCCTCCTGCCAAGGCCACCCCACCTCCTCAGCTGGGGCAGGGGTCGCAGCTCACTGCCCAGGGTCTTTTCTCCTCCCAGCCAGTTCCTGCTGATACCCCACTGCCCTCACTCACCCTCGATGATCTTGAGCTTCTCCTCGCGCCCATCCACCAAGTGCTGCCCGGCAAGCCCTAGGTACACACAGCCCATCACAGATCCCGCTGGCCAGCTCGCCCCAGACACAGTCCCCCCCTCAACATCCCTGCCGGCTTGGCCATGTGTGCCCAAGTGTGACAACACCCAAGGAGGCTGCGAGGCACCTGCTAGGCTTCCCACCAGCAACCACTGCGTGGGCAGGGTGTGGGCGAGGGCAGCAGGGAGCCCCCACAGGCACTCCAGGCCCACTCTGAGCCGGCAATGCTCTGCAGCCACGTGGCTGATTCAGCAGCAGCTGGGGCTGCGGCCAAGCTGCTGTGGGGCACAGAGGGCCCATGGGGTTGTGACTCACCAATGAACCTGATGGCCGCCTCTTGCAGGGGCTCCTGGGGGCTCCGCAGGTATTGCAGGCTCTGGGACAGGTAGTCATCCACTCTGCTGCTGTGCCCCACCAGCTGGAAGAGAATAGTACATGTGGATGGGGCTGGTGCAGCCTTGCCCCTTGGCCAGGCCGGCCCTGTACGTGGGACTGGCTTCCCCTGCTGGGATAGCCTGATGCCCAACCAGCA